GGAAAAAAGAGAAAGACTGGTGTTCAAGGTGATGGAGAAAATCTACAGCAAATTTGACCTCAGTATCTTAACAAAAATACTGTACAGATGTGTGGACCCCTGGTGGCCTAGTGGTTAGCATGCAGGACTCTCACTGCTGTGACCCAGGTTCGATTCCCCGGTCCCCTGGGCAGATGGAGCTCGTTAGCCCTGTGAGGCCATCCATCTATGAGAAGGTCACTCTAAACAAACCTACGTCCTGAGGACCTCACTGCCATTGTCCAAGCTCGCTTGGCCCCAGCAGATGAACCTTAGGATTAAAGGGTGGGCTCAGTTCAGCGCAAGCTGTGTCTCACCTAAAAAATCCACTGCGTAGGCTGGAAAGGTAAAAGACCTTTTCCAAAATCTTCGTTCGCGAAGACTGGCCATTATTATTATTATTATGTATGTGTCTCCAAACAAAGCAGAATCAGGCCCACAAAAATTATCAGTAGAAAAATATAGGGGTAAGCAGATGGATTTGTTTAAAAATAAGTGAATGTAAGGTCCTGGAGGAAAAAGGAAAGCAAACTTTTGAGCCAAGAGATGATTTGAAAGTGTAAGCTACATGTCAAGTTGTGTGAACACTCCCATAACTTTACAATATATGATCCTAGAAGAGAGAATTTAGCTATAATCATTGGATAGCAGGTTGATCATGCACTGTGATCAGTAAATCAAAATATAAAACAGAGTGATTCAAAACTCTAAGGGATTTGCTATAAGAAGGGATAATGTCCACATTTCAGAAAGTGCCTCTTCTAGTGGATCCAAGATAACCTGTGTTCAACACAGCTGTGACCAAACATCCATATCTCCCTTTTTTTCTGTACAACTCATGCTTTTCAGAGTGAAAAATACAAGCCTGCAGACTGCAGTAGCTGGATTAGTAGAATTACATATGAATATTTCCTCTAAAAGGCAGATCCCTTTATCATTTTGAATTTCCTGCATGAATGAGTCAGTGTGCTTTTTTCATGTGGGACCAAACCATCCACCTATCTTGGCCCTGGTCAGATGGTATTGCACTTGTGGGAAGGCACCTAGAATCTTCAGAAAATGTGATAAGGACAAAAACTGTCTGGATCCTTGTGGAAAACAATGTTCCTGATTGCACTTGTATAATGTTCCTGTGGGTTTCTTCAAATCTAAGGATACAAACAATCCCCTCAAGGAGCCATATGAAATGAGAATGTTAGTCATGTTACTGTTGAAAAAAACAAGCCAAAGGAGAGTTGAGGGAAGCCAGAAGTTGCTTCTTGTAAATTCTGAAAAAGTCTCAGTTTTTGCTGGCTTAAGCAGAAAATAATTATTTTATTGACTTATTTTTTGAAGTAAGTGCAGGGACATCTACTAGCCTTCCTCTGCTACTTCCACTGAACTTGACGTTGCAGCATTGGCATTCACATGATAAGGATTTTTTTTTCATAGAAGAGAGACAAATTAGGAACAAATCAAAGGTATTTATGATCTCATGCAAGTCCACTGCAGAAAGGGATGAAGAATCTGACATCATGTCCCTTTTTTTGTGTGCCACTTCATGAAACAGATCAAGCTTGGGCCAGGCTTCATATGAGTGTCCTACCTCCTCAACTATCTGTGTGTGCATCTAAGATCATGCCATGAAGCAGTGCTGGTCCATCTACTTGACCACTTACAGATCCTTCCTAAAACATCTCCTGGCCACTATGCCAGCAGGAATGGGAAAAGATGAAAACAGAAGGGAACTGAGCAGTGAAGGTGTCTTGCATTACAAACAGACAGAGCTTGTACCAGAGACCACGTGACATGGACATACTGGAGTGAGTCCACTAACATGATTTGGTGATTGGAATATCCAACACATAAAGAGCTGGGATTTTTCAGCCTTGAGAAAAGGTTTCAGAGTGGAATCAGTGTGTGTAAATGTGTATCAACATGTATAAATACCAATTGGAAAGGGGTGAAAAAATAGAACCAGACTCTTCTCAGTGGGATGTGGTGAAAAGAAAAGAGGGAACAGGTACAAACTGAAATATGTGAAATTACTTTTAAACATGAGAAAAAAACATTTTTACTATGCATATGTTAAACACTGGAACATGTTGCCCGGGGAGGTTGTGGACTCTGTCTTTGGAGATGTTCAAAACTCCGTTTGGCACAGCCCTGAGCAATCTGCTTTAGTTGACCCTGTTCTGAGTGGGGAGACTGAACCACCGCATTCCAACTGAAACAATTCTCCTGTGAATCTATGAGATCCATTCTGGGTACCTTAAAAAAAAAACCTAAATAACTCTAATCTTACCTATTCAGTAGTGTACAGGAGCACAGCACTTCACAAATTTCTGAACTATGACCCTACCACACAAGTAGCTTGACTCATATGTAACATTTCCTCATGTCTCAGAGGTTTAAATAGATGATGACAGATAAGCATGTAACAGCATCTTAGAATCTGTCCCAGAGCCCATCTTCAGTGTATTCCTCCTTTGCCAGTTTTCTGGGCAGTAGCTTGACCTAGCTGGATGTAAGTGGGCTTCATGAATGGGTCTGTCAGGTATCTGCACCAGCTAAGTCTGGACCGGGCATGGGTGCTGGTCCTCACTGAGGTTTGTATACATCCCCAGCTTAGATCTCTTAACAATCTCCTTTCTGTGGGGTACTGCAACAAGTCCTGTTGCTGTAGACCATGAAACTAGTATTTAGAAAGTCTCTCAAACCTTGAGCAGCTGCTGGGGCAACATGGTAGGAGAAGAAATAGAGTTTCTTAGTTGCTTTCAAAGTCTAGTAAAAACCTTTGATAAAGGCCCCTTTCCCTTGTTGAAGTTTTCCCCTGAATTTCCATAGCCTTTTAGGTAGGGCAGTACCTCCATTTGTCCTCTTCCCCACACGGCACAGGTAAAACCTTGTTCCTTGTACAGTCTCTCCCTTGCACCAGATGCATGGCCTGCATAAACTATACGCTGTTGGCTTTTGTTACATTCCCCCACCTCTGGGCAGGGAAGAAGCAAGGCCATTGTGACAGTCGAGGTGGGGAGCCATTAACAGGCGGTGAGGCTGAGAGGCAGCTTTCAACAGGGTATCAGACGCTTCCCAGGGCAGAGCCAGTGCCTGGAATGCAGCAGAGTACTCAGGCCTTGGGCAAGTTTAGACACATGTTGATGCATGATACAAGATGGAGCCTATCACTTGATATCAGACTCTTCCAGTCAGTCACCAGGTTGGGTAAACATGTATGCCATGCAAAATAGGAGGTAATGTAACTACCAAATCAGAGTGATCTGGAAAGGTTTTTTGTAATTCCTGGTTGACTGTTCCATTGTAAAGTCATTCTATGGGGCATGCATGTTGAGTAAGGGACAAGCACCACAAATAAAACCATGGCATTATTTTGGAAAAAGGGAACAAGGGCAAAGTGAAGAGGAAAAGTGAAAGATGCCATCTACAGAAGCCACAATAATGCAACACAGAAACTATCTGTTAGGAATAACTTCAGTTTCTTCTGCATTTGTTCCATTTATGGCCTGGGTAGTTCAAAGTGTCGGACTGGAATCTAGGAGGTCTAGATTTTTTCATACATTCCCACCTGCTGGTTCATTGTACAGCCCAAAACCTTAAATATTTTTAAAGGGTAAGGCAACCCAAAGGTGAAATGAAAAAGGAGCAACATTTACGTACTTGCATTGACATACAACCCTCCTGTTTCCTTCCCACCTGCCCAGAGCAAGTGTGTAAGGAATTTGGTGCCCAGGGCAGGCTTCGAGCAAACCAGGCCCTTCTCCCTGGGGAGGGCAGGAGGTCCTTCCTCATTGCAGACCTCTTGTGACCAGGGGCAAAGCACGCTGCAGCTGCAGGTTATGGGTGGAGGAAGAGACCAAACCCTCCCGAAGGCTAGGCATTACAGTGCCTAGCAATACACTCAGCCTTGGAGGAAACCCAAGAATACAGTTGTCCTGGGTGGGAGAGCTCGAAGGGACTGGTCTTTCCGCTGGAGGAGAGGGTAATAATAGCCTAAGGACAGGCGAGGGGCAAGGCTGGGTGCAGGAGAGCTGTAGAGCCTCAGGGGGACTGGGGGGCTCTGGAGCTGGGCACCTGGAGCAGGGAGAGGGGCGATGGGGAAGAGGGGCAGCGGCAGATGCGACGGAAGGTGCGTACAACCCGAGATGCAGAGGAGGCTGAACTAGAGCGAGAGGTTCAAGGGTCAAGTAAGGCCTCGGGGAGTGAGTAGCGGGTCGTGCCGCAGGTCCCGCCCAGGGACGGCTGAAGCAGGGGCCGGCTGGGGAACGCCGTAGCCCGGGTGTGATGAGCGCCAGTCTGGGTAGCACCAAGCTTGGATCCCGGTGGGAGCGACGGTGGGCGCTTCCCGCGGAGGGAAGCCTCTCCCGGAGGGCGGTGGCTCCGGCGGGGGAGGGCCGGGGGTGCGGGGCGGTGCTGGGCACAGGAAGCGGAAAGCAGCGGCGGCGGCAGCAGCGACGGCGGCCGCCGCCGGGGAAGGTGGCGGGGAGCGGCGCGGCGGGTCGGTGCCGGGAGCGGCATGGGGCGGCCGCGGGAGGGAGGTGAGTCCGTCCATCTGCCCATCCATTCGTCCGTCCGTCCGTCCTTGCGGGGTGCAGTGCGGGGGGGGCGCCGCCGCTGCCCCCCACCACGCCCTCCCGCCGCCGGGACCCCGCCGCCGCCCTGCTCCGGGGTGCCCGGGGCGGCGGGGGCAGCGCTGGGGCAGCCGCGCTGCTCCCGCTCCTGGCGGCAGGGCTCCGTCCCCGGGCGGGCGGTGGGGGCTGAGCGCCCAGGTAGGCTCCGGGGATGCCAGCGGCGGGGGGAGCCCGCCGCCTCCCCGCTCCCCGTGATCGGAGGTGGAAGGCGGGCGGGGGTGGCCGCCGAACCCCCTTCCTGCCGGGCGGGGCTGTGCCCCTGCCCGCCGCGGGGCTGCTGGGGCGTCGGGTCCCGGCCCTGGTACCGCGGGTGGGAGAGATCCCGGCATCCCGGGATAAGCCCTTCGGTGCCGGCGAGGGCCGTGGGATTAGCCCCGCACGGCGGGCAGCGCTCTCGCTGCCAAGCCTCGCCTGGGAAGGAGCCCGTGCGCTGTGAATGCACCGGGACGAGTCGATCCACGCTGGGGTGAAGGCTCTGCTGAAGGGTGTCTTGCCTGCCCACGCCGTGTAAAACAAACTGCTCCCTGTCTGGGCTCATCCCGCTGGGCAGCACGGGAGGGGGTGCAGAAATGACCGGCGGGAAGGCAGGCGTGCTTTGGAGAGCTGCTGTGAAATAACATAAGGTTGGCGTTTTTCTTGCTCAGAACACTGTCAGGGTGCTAAACTAACTCTCTTGTGCCAAGCGCCGAGCTCTCTCTTGCAGGGTCTGTGAAAGCATAAGTGGCTTGATGGCAGGGTTTTCGATCTGGGGAGACAGGCTTAGCAATTCTACTACTGTTTGAAGCAGTGGGGTTTTTTTGGCCCTGTGTTTGTCAGTAACGAATTGCCCACAAGATCTGTGCAGCTATGAAGAGTTAAGAAATCGAGTCATACTGGCTGGAAGTACAAATTAGGATGTTATGGAGTGTATTCTGTGATATCATTGTCTGTGAGCTCATCCTGACTTTGAGAGGAGAGTTGTGGAGAAGAGAGCTTCAGCGGTGCTTTTCTGCCTTTGAAGAGCTTCGTTTTGACCATGCTTGGCTCTCTTCCTCCATTGGGATTTGGCTGTTTAACTGGCCGCAACTACGAGACCAGCGTTGGCTCGGTGATCGCTTCAGTTGTTAATTTTGAAAAATAAATGTGAATAGAGTCTTACAGAAAACCTCCGTTAAAAATGTTCCCTTTGAGCTGAAATTTTGGAACAATCCCAGACTATATTGAAACCACCCAGGCAAGTATCTAACTGCCCACAGTCCCTGACCAGCAGCTCCCGGTGGTTGCTGCTGACCTTTTCATTTTGATTAGTAGTGGCAGTATACCTGGTGGCTCTTATCTTATGGACATGTCCACCTAGAGAGGGCTTACTGTCATCACTGGGAGACTGGGATAGGGTACTAGGAAAATGCTACCAAGATCTAGCAAAACTGCATGTCACATTGTTGTTGTAGCCTGCCTTCCTCACTCCCCCACCTCTGACAACGGTAGCAAAGAATGGAATCAGAAATGTGGCTTTGCTGCTATAGGGCTTGTTGTGCTGTGTGGGGACCTGAGAGGCAGACCCGAGTGGAGAACTGTGACATTCAGTTCTGCTGGTAGAGGACAGTGTCATGCTTCTCTGTATCTGGTATGGTCACTGGGAAGAAGAAAATGAACCCATGTGGAAACTATCCTAGAACTTCTTTTCATTTCTCATTAGCCTGTACTTCAGAATTTTCTGACTTGGGTCAAATTAAAAAACAGCAGTTATTTCCTCAGGGGTCAACACCTTTTCCTTTTCTCCTTGCAAGGACAGAATGGCCTTGGCTTTGTATAGGTTTGAGCAGAAAGAGGGAGAGAGAGAAAGAGACTCCATACTGTGGAGTCCCCCTGTGCTGTGTACTGGGGATTTGATTAGGGTCTGTAGACTCCTTTTTCATTCTAAATTCAAATAGAAAATTCAGGCAGATATGCAGTATCCTAAAGGGGAGGGGGTGCTCTTTCAGTAGAGAAACCTTCTGCAGTTTATAGCCTCTGATGCTATCTCAGTATCTTCGTGCTGTGGCTAAAAGTAAGCTTTGAAAATGAGATACAGGTGCTGCCTGTCTGAAGTGTCTTGCGAGACTCTTTTCTCTGTTTGTTTCAGTAAGGCTGTAGGGCTTTAAATGTCAATATGGGAAGCTATTTCTGTGTGTAGTCCCAGGTGCTGCTCTAGTATGAGGGTGAGGCCACAATACCTTCTGTCATGTTGCATGGCTCTGGGATTAAGAGGTGCGCTTAAAAATCTAGCAACACAGGAGAGACGTAGGGGTGAGGAAGTGCAAGCTTTCACCAGTCTGGCACGATGGCACTCGAGGTATAATTTGCATGATAGACTTGAATGGTCGTCGTGCTTCAGAAACTTGTACGGCACAGATGTGGCTCTTGGAGTGGGCAAAGGACATCCTCCCAGGAAGTGCTGCACTGATGGATCACACGTAGAGAGCTTCCCAACTTCCAGTGTGTAACAGGGGGGCAAGAGGCTGGGGCTGAGTGCCTGGAAACACTGCTCTCTTGGGTGGTGGTTTTGCCTGGATATTTCTCTTGTCAGTTGAAACAGCCTTGCTGTGTTTTCAGACCTGTGTTGTTGCATGTTCTGATTAAACATGCAGGTGGATAAATAAACGAAGTGACTTTTCTTTTTGAAATATCCACCTCATGGACTAATGATTTTCAACCTAGGGACTGGAAATTCCAAGGGGTCTATAAAGTCTTTCTAAGGAGTCTCTGAGGAGCAAAAGAAAAGAGAACCTATTGCTAGAGGGCTTGGATTTGCTGACTACTGAACATTTTATTTTTTGTTTTTAGGATAAGGGGCTTGCAAATCAAGAACCATCACCGCAGAGTAAAAGGCCAAAATTAACCTTATTTAATGACATGCAAACATAAATAGGAAACTTTTGTAAGAATCTTGTTTCCCAAAGCTCGTTGGCCATTAAAACTGAATCTCTTGGCTCTACAAGTAGAACTTCTGTGCTTACAGATCAAGTTGCTGGATTGGGGCCTGCTCAGGAAGTTCAAAAGCAAGAGGTTCCTGTGGCATTGCTCATAGGTCTTACTATATATGCAGTTGAACATAGCAAGTTACGCAACTTCTCGTTTTCCTGAAGTGAATAATAGGAATACGCTGCAGCAGTACCGTGCAGCCAAGCTAGTGCCAGAGTTGGAAGGCTTCCCCACTGCTTAGCCGTCTTTTAATTGTTTTTAGTCTTGAATCCTAACGCTGTCCCATAGCTGAGCGCTTGGGGTTCTGTGTGTTTAATTTGCAAAGCTCTTCATTCCACTAAACGAAGAAAAGAGATTTTTCGGCGCGATAGCTCGTGGGCATCCATTACCCTATAGACAGCTGGTGCTGTTTAACAAGCAAGGCTGACAGCGCTTGGAGCCGAGTGTGCGCACATCCTCACAGACACTTGTGGCTGCTTGTGCTCCAGATGGCACTTCCAAATACATCTAACTTCATGAACCGGGCTGGTAAATCAACTCTAATCGATTGCAAGTTTTAAACGGAGTAAGATTGAAACTGTGCAGACAAGGATTTCAAAGATGAGCTGGTTTGGAGTTATTTACCTCAACTTCATAGGGGAAAATCCATTGGGAAAGCATGGGATGTAAAAGAGTGTTCTTGTTCGTGTTTGCTCTCTTTGATTTGAAGATGTAACTTGCTCTTTTAAATTTCTCTTGGGCTGAGAGCCAAACTGCGTTCCCTTGAAGACGATCACAAAGCAGACTTCCTTGGAAATGGGATTGGGCTTCCAGCGTGGAAAATAGCGATTCAAAAGAACTCTTCTTGAGATTTATGAGCATATGAAAAGAGGGAGTTACAATGAGTTCTGTAGCTGTTAGAAACTGTAATTACAGTGATCTCTGCAGTATTCAGGGGTAACTGCATTTCTTCACTGTTGTGCAGGATGCAGCAGTCCTTCTTGCTAGGACAGGGTCACAAAATTTCCTTTGGAGAGTCCTTACCATTGTTTTCCATCTAGTACTTGGCCTCCTTCTGTTATCAGTGAGTAAGGGAAAGGCCAAGTGAGAGTGCTGGCCCCACTGGGAGCAAAGTGCTGGGTGTGCAGTTATACAATTGTCGTGACTGGAACTGAGGAGGCATTCCCATCTCCCCTCTAGCTGTTCGCTTGTGCTGCTATTCACCCTGGTGTTGGTTTTGATGTTTTGGGCTGTGCTGTGAACTAGGTCACGGAAAGGATCCAAGACAAAAGCGTGGCAGGGGGGAGAAAAGGGATTTTTTGTTTTGTTTTCCAGCAGTGCTGTTTGCTTGCTGAGAATTGTGTTGACACAACCGAGAGTGGTGAACCGTGGTGCGGAGGTGGAAGCTACTTACACCAGCTTTCTTGTCAGTGCTGAAATACAGTGCAACTGTACCCTCGGGCCAAAAGAGCTTTGTTTCACGCAGGGCCAGAAGCTCTGCAAACAGGCCATGCCTTCAGTGGAGTCCTGTGAGATGTAATGATCTTTTGTGAAGCCGTTTCAATTGGCTAAATAGGACTCTCAATTCACACTTGTTTGTGAAGGGATGAGGCCCCAAATGATGGGGTTGCTGCACAGTTGTCCTGGCCCAGAGGGGCAGGGTAAGAATCATTAAGTGACTTAGTAGTTTAAAGACTGTGCTTAGTGTGGATATGGTTGTGTTATGAAGGATACATGTATAGCTTGTCACTGGAGCTCGGGCTCCAGTGGTGGGCACTATTGGGGTGGTGGCTAATCCAGAATTGACTTCTGTTTATACCATTGAAAGAGCTTCAACCTGGAGACGTAGTTTAGCACGTTAGTTGACTTTTGATCCCTCTTACCTCTTCCACAGAGGTTTCAGAAGCTTTTCTGAGGTAAGGCTGCTCCCCCTTCCTGCTGTAAAATACTGCAGGAGGTGGGTAACCTGCTGGCTAGGCTATGAGGAGGGTGTGTTTGCACTGCGCTCCTCCCTCCTTGATTTCTTCCTTTCATCCTGCTCAGAGTGTCTAGCTAGCAGTCCAGACTATTCTTTGTTGAGCAAATCTAGGAAGCCTTCTTGACAGTCAGCCTTGGTTGGGCACTAGACAGTGGTCTTCTACTTTTTCCAGCTGAGATTGGGCAGACATATTTTGTTCCTGGCAGCCCTGTGTAAGTGCCTTGGCAGGAATATCTATTTAGCCACTGGTGTGTCCTGCGGTCAGGGCAAGGAGGAGGTGCAGAGTCCCTGAGTTCATCATAGAATCGTTGAGGTTGGAAAATACCTCTAAGACTACTGCTTTTGACAGTGATCCAGGATACTTAATGTTTTTTGGGGGCCGCCTTGTTGACTTTTCACAGAGCTGTGTCAAAACCGTTGCTCTTGTTTATACAGAAAATGAAAGTTTGCGTGATCCAGCCTGCCCTGGCGTTCCTGTGTTGGTCTTCCCATGCCTGGTGCCCAGCACTGCCTTGTTTCACGTACGGTCAGATGGGCACTACTTGTTCATGGTTCCTGTCTAGGCAGCCTGTGCATTTCCACAGCAGCCTCTACCTGCTGAAATGTTCTCTGATGCCTCCAGAGAAGTGTGATCCTGTGCTGATTGGGCAAGAGGGGTCAGAAGAGGAGTTCTGTTCCCAGTCCCTGTCTCAGCTCTGATTCTTTTATCTGGGATTTTGGGGGAAAATTCTTTTGTGTGGTTAGAGGTAAAGGCTGGGAATTTATACTTTCCTAGAGGCCTATGAAAAATACCTAACCCTTACTCATGTATGCCAGCAGCATTCCTTGCTTTTCCTATTCATGTAATGCAGTGGTACGTATCTGTGAAGATAGTGGTTGTTCTCAAAGGTACCCCAGTAACATCACGAACTGTGGTTTAAGACTAAAATACTTGTCACCTGTCCAGCTGAGGGTGTTTCTGTTTTGTAATGCCTAATGACTGCAAAATCCTGTGTAGCCATCTCCTCTGTTGGTATCATAGTGCTTTTTGAAGTAGGGGGGGTGGCCTCACCTCCATTTATCAGAGAAAGATAAACAAAGAGGAAAGATTTTTCTCTGGTTGCCTAGCAGGACAGTAGAGGTAAAAATCAGCTTTAATGAATCCCAGCCTATTGCTGGAGCCATAAGCTACAGGCTGTGTGCAAGCCTACGGAGTTAACAAGTGTTAACATCACGTCCTAGGCTGGGAGATTTTTATTCTTGTTACGGTAATGATGCCATTTTCCAAACTGTGCTGTGCCTTGGCTTTGTGTTTCACTGTGTTTAAATCCATCCTCATTCCTTTCCTCCCAAAACCAGGCCTTAGGTTCCCATCCGTATTTGTCCTTTCTGTATTCTCTGCTGCCTTTAAGTTTTCTGAAGACATGCTATGCCCTTATAGCTTGAGAATTCTGGTACACAAAAGATTCCCACGGCCTTCTTCTTTCCAAGAGCCCTGGCAAGCCCAAGTGGTGTGCAAATACCTGCAGCTCCAGATGCAGGGGCGATGCTTCTTTAGTTCACTGCAGATTGCACCACCAGCCAAGGAACCTTATGGGGAAGAGGCTTTGTTCTTTGGCACAGCTTGTGGTGGTAGAGCTCTCTGCTCTGTTAGGAGCTTTTCTGGAGGTGTTAGTGGAGGAGTCTTAGGGCTGGCAAGAGTAGTTGGCCAAAGCACGGTTTCTGTTTCTGTCCCTCTGTCTTCTGGGAGGGAGAGGGCTGAAAGCAGTGCCTGTTTGATTGCTCACAGCTTTGAAAAGTGCTGTGAGCAGAAAATAACAGAGATCTAATTTAATGTTAAAGTGGTCTTTTGCCCCCTCTGAAATTACGGCTGTAGTCCTGTGTTGACTGGAGGCAGCAGTTGTCTGGGCAGAAGGCATGTGAGAGTGCTTCCGTGTACCAAAGGAGTGGTGGGCTGCACCACGGTACCTCTGTCCATTGCTGCAGCTCTTCCCTTTTCACCATTTACATGCATTTCCCCAAACCACTAGTTCCATAACTCCCCTCCCTTCCATTTCTCTTCTTGCCTAATGCAGGATGGTGGGTTTGGAAAGTGGGCTGTTGTCTACCTTTCTTCCCCACAGGGTTCAGAGTTTTTAACATTTTACGGTTGGGAATTGTTCTGATGTTGTTCTGCTCCTGTTCCAAAAATCATAACCCTCTTCTGCCCTTTACAGATGTGACTTGAGCTACTGTTCCAGATGAAAGTACAGTGTAAAAAGTGTTGGCCCATATAAGCTAGATGTGATCTCTAATCAACTCTCCCCAGTGTTATTAGTATGTGTATATATAGAGATGATTTTTAGTAAAATTGAATTCTTTGAGGCCCAAATTAGCTTCTGGAGGCAAAGGTTACAAAGAGAGGGAGGTGTTCACAGTGCCATTGATTGTATAGTAACTAATGCTTGTATAATGGGCACACCTTGCAATTATGAAAACAAAGCAGGTTCAGACATGGTGGTCTGATCCTCCCCTGCATTTCTTCTAGGAAAGTGCCCTCCCCCTACCCTTTCCCCTATATATAGGCTATAATGCTGCCATTTGGAGTGTGGGGTTATTTGGACTGTGTGTTACAGAGGTGAAGAGATGGGGTGTGAAAGCCAAGCCTGGTCCTTTTTCTGTGGGTGAATTTTGGTGAGCCTTCTCCAAGTCACTGTCTTTTCCAGGTGACCTAGAGGAATGGTCTAGACTCTGCAAAACAGAGATCCATTGAGTTTATTTAAAGCTCTACAAATGCATACATTTCACTAGATTGGAAAGAGAGGTATCAACCAGGACAAGTCTGTGAATTGGACACAGTGTGATAAGCGGTGACATGTGGCCAGAGTGAGGGAACTGCTGCAGTAGGAATGATGTCTTGCTTTTCTTCGAGTGCACTTCCATGCCTGTTTCTCTTTTCTTAGGTCAATTGTAAGAAGCCAAGCACCCTTTCTCCCCTCCCCTCTGATCGGATTCCTTTTAAAGTGAAGTTTGCTCAATCTCTGAGGACCAGATCTCACTGATGACTGGGAAGCAAAGAGTACCGAGGGAAGCACTTTTACCACGAACTCCACCTCAGGAGCACCAGGAACTGACTTTCTAAATAAAATCTGTGCCCCTTCTGTGCAGACCCAATGTCTGCTGCAATGGATACAGAATCAACATATTCGGGATACTCCCACTACTCAGGTCACTCCAAAAAAGCTCACAGACAAGGGTAAGGAAATGTTTATTTTTTATTATTTACGGCTGTAAGTTAGGACATGTCCAGTGGGAAAAAAATTGTAAGCCAGGATGAAATCAGTGGGGCCACAGCTCTGGAGGAGATGCAAGTGGAGAGTCCTCATGGGAAACACAGTGAGGAGACTGGCAGCCGCTAATTCAACCTGTTGGATGTATGCTGGGGTTATATGTGGCTAGAAGGATTGGCATAGTGCCAACAAAATGAAAATATCCTTAACTATGCTCTTAAAGTACAAGGGATGAGTACAGTCTCTGGGGAGAAGATGTGTTAGACTTCCAAAACTGATAATTGCTGGTTGTTTTCTCTTCTGTTGCCATTTCTTTATTGTGTAATAATAAGGTTTCCTGCTTCTCCCCACCTTCCTCCTGGCTACTCTGTTGATAGTGTGTTGGGGTTTTTTTAAATAGAATTTGAGTGGCACTTGAGTTGGCAACAAGTTCCTTTATCAGCATTGATTGGATTAGAAGTCAGATTTTTCTGAACTTGAATAGCAAATCCTCTTCTGTTGTGGTAGTTCAACAGCCTCAAAACCCATCTGCTCTGAAACTTCTGATTATATGGAAACTTTTTATTCTTTTCTGCATCATTATTAGTTTTACATGCAAAATGTGTGCCACTTACAACCTTTTCAACTTGTTACTGAGCTGGTCCAAAACAATTTTGCATTTCGGAAGCAATTACCCTGTGTGGTTGGAAAAAGAATTCTTCCATGAAATGAAGTCTCTTTGCTCACAGTCCAGTTATTGAGTAAAACATCTCTTGTTTGCCTTTTTTCCCTTCTTTAGCACCTCCTCCTCAATACAGATTGCCCTTATAAACTTAGAATGTGGAAAGATGCCTTCAGAGTTCCAAAAACAACATAAAAATCCTAGAGCCTCTTACTGTAAACTGGAAAAGTCTCATCCCATGATACCTTTGGGCTTTGGTTATTACAAGAGAGAGGCAGTGGAGAGAGCAGAGCTGGGACACTCATGAGGATTAAGCCAGTCCCTAAGCCCAGTGAGGGTCTCCAGTGCAAAGTCTGCTTTCCTGTCCATGTGGGAAGGGGGAGGAAAATATTAGTAGGGCTTAATTCATCCTGAGACATTCTCAGATGAGAAGCTGTGAGGGTACTCTGAAAGTAAACACTGGCCTGGTACCCTTGATGGTCTTGCTTTCTTTGTAAGAGGTCAGCTTGGGGTTATTAACCACTGGAAATAAACTTCACCAATTGTCCTACAGTGTTAGGGTCATAGATGACAAGACTCTACGCTGAAGGAACTAAAGCTATGTTGATTAATTCCTTGTGTTAGCTGTGCATGTCCCTGTGAGACAGTTTATTGTAGGTGGAGAATTGTGTAAACCAGTAGATCCCAAATGGAGTTCCCAGTTGCCTGGAGAATGCAATGCTGTTTTAAGAGAACGTGAGGTGGTGGGCATGTACCCCTGTCCTCCCCTCTCCTATCACTGAGAGGGCAGTCTGTCCCAGCCTCCAGGCTGTAGGCTTCTCTCAGGGCAAGGTCCCTTTCTACCTCTTCTAAAGCATGTTTTGTTGTAGATTGAGTGAAATTTGATCAAGAGATGGGCAAGCTTGACTATGAGCTAATGCTTAGGGCACCTGTTGCAGGTAGAGGTGTAGCACATTTCAGTAACTGGTAATGTTGTTCTCCTCTTCCACTCTTTGAAAAAAGGAGTCGGGACAGACACAAATCGCCACGAAGCAAAGATGGCAGTCGATCTGAGAAGTCCGTCACTATCCAGACACCTCCTGCAGAGCCGCTCCTTGGGAATGATGCCTCTCGGGCAGAGGAGGGCCAGGTAAGGAGCCTGTGAAAGAAAACATGGAGTGTGTTTTGTGGAGCAGAACACATGGCTTATTGGCTCATGAGTAGGAAAAAAGCATTGCTTGTGTGCTGTTTAATGGGTACCCTTTATTAATGCATAAAGCCAAGGTCGCAAACAGTTCTGTCTTTTTCTGAGAGCATTATTTTTGACTGCACCAGTGCTGATGTGACGACTCCTTGGGCACTGATTTGCCTCTGTCTCCAGAGTGTCACCTGCCGAGCTCTATAGAAACATCTGTTTCTGTCATGTCACTGTGCATTATTCAGGTCAACCCTTTCCACCTGTATGTATGTTTTAGTTTTTAAGCAGGATTTGCTCTAGGTATTCATGTAAAGTACATTACAATCAGAATTCCAATATGGAAAGGAGTCAGGAATTGTAAAACTAGTGTGAAATAGCTGTGAAGGAGGGTGAACTTGGAACATGGGGTTAAATAAAGATTGGAATAGTGCTGCATTTAGATTGTACCTAGGATGGATCCAGTGCTCTGTCTGCTCTACTAGTTGATGTGAAGGTGCATGTTCATTTTCAAAGAATGGCTGATGCTGCAAGACATAAAATGCAAGATGTTTCAGTACCTCCTAGCTGGATTTGGGGTGTGTTAAATCTTGGTTGTGGGGTTCCACGTCTGCCTTTAAAAAAATATTGTTGTGCAGTTTGCACTCAAACTGTGTATGGTGGTACTTTAGCAGTATTCATCTAGCTACTGGTGTGCTCACTTCATGTATTGGTATTTTGTAATCAGATGCTTGTTTTCACGAGTCCCAGCTATTATTTCAAATAGTTCTAAAGGCACTGGTGAATTTTTAAGCCCTTGTTTTCACATAGAACTCCTCAATTAAAGCCAAAGCAAAATAATTGATGCATGAGCCAGACTTTTCTCCTAGGGAGCAGAGGGCACTGAATTAGGTCCAACAATCATGTACCAATGGAGATTTAGACTCATATTTCCTCTCCTATGAGGAAAGGCTGAGAGAGGGGGGGTTGCTCAACCTGGAGAAGAGAAGGCTCTGGTGTGACCTTATTGTGGCTTTCCAGTACCTGAAGGGAGCATACCAGAGAGCCAGAGAGGGACTTTTTACAAGGGCATGTAGTGATAGGACAAGGGGGAATGGTTTTAAACTGAAAGAGGGGAGGTGTAGATTCGATATTTCGGAAGAAGTTATTTACTGTGAGGGTGGTGAGGCACTGGAACAGGTTGCTCAGAGAGGTTGTGGATGCCCCATCCCTGGAAGTGTTCAAGGCCAGGCTGGATGGGGCTTTGAGTGATCTAGTCTAGTGGAAGGTGGCCCTACTTATGGTGGGGGGGAGGGGTTGGAGCTAGATGATCTTAAAGGTCCCTTCCAACCCAAAGCATTCTATGAGTCTGTGGTTTCCATATAATTGCACAATTTTGCTTGTGCCACTTATACTGGGAAGAGTTATAAGTGTGACTGTTGCCTGTTGTCTTCTGGGCTGTAGCTTTAAGCTGCTCTGGTTTCTGTCCCTTCTCTTTTCTGCACAGCTTTGCAGCTCATCAAATGGATGAAACTATGCAGAACTATTTAATGCATAAACATAAAATAGCTGACATGCTTAAATTGCTTTACTGGTGACACTGGTAAAGAGGGAAATGTGGTAGGAATATGCTGCTTTTCAGGACATACTACAATGCAGATATCTGTTCTGGAGCCTCTGCTTTGGTGAGAAGTGACTCAAAAAGCCTCTCATATTAATTCAAGATGCTGACTATTTGTGGTTGGTCTGCCTCAAAACCCTACTGCTCTAGGCATGGGAGGTATTCATGTCTTGGAGTGCATTAGAAGTTAAATCCCTAGAGTTGTTCAAAGTAGATGTGCTGCGTCAGTCTGTTCCTTTCCCAAAGACTCTTGAAGACTCTTTCCTCTAGCTCTTAAAGAAGTGAGCAAAGGTTTAAAATGATGCCTGTGTCTTTAAAACAGATTGTTTTGGTCAGCATGTGTAGTTGCAGAAGTCTGGGGGAAGGTGTAAATCCTATTAATGACACAGACTACAGAAGATACACTGAGGAGGGTAGGAGGAAAATAAAAAACCTTCGGTTCTGAATGAGCATTGCAGGTACAAAGGTGTCAGGTGCCAAGCAACAAAGCACATGCCTTGCTACTCTTGCCTTTGTGGGAAGCATCAGGAGTCTTCATGTGCGTGAGTCACTCCAGCAGCAGCTGTGAGTCAAATCCATACATGCCAGTGTAACTCTTTGGCTCTGCCAGCAGCAGGAACAAGCAATTGGAGGCATCATGGGATGGAAGAACCAGCTTGTAGAAGTTCTCTGATGCTAGCTAGGGAAGAAGTGAGACTTTCAGAAAACGTAATGTAATCTGAAACTTGCCTGTGTGGTGACTGTGTTTCAGGTAAGCTTCTTTGTGGATAAGTGGCGTCTGACAATGTCCTGGGTTGTAATACCAGAGCTACTTGGCAGTCTAGGATCCTCTAAACTTAAAAGCCCTGTACCTGAAAATATCCTCTGTAATTTGTTGGTTTAACTAAACTTTTATTACATTGTCAGCTATTGAGGGCAGTACTACTGTAGAGGAGAATAAAAGACAGTGAAGTGGAGGAACTTGCTGGAGGTGTGGTTGCTTCTGTTACGGATGGAAAAATAATGTGTGAACATGTTTTTGATTGTGTAACAACAACAACTGGCTTGAAACACTGAAATGAAAATTTCCCTTCCAGGTGCTTTTGTGGTGTACTTGCACCGCAGAATTTGTGGGCTGGAAGAATGCTAGTCCTTGCCCTGGACATGGGAACTGATGATTACTACAGTTTCCAAGACTTATGTCATGTTACTTGTTAAGCATGCTGGAAGAGGAACCTCTGGGGTACAGTGAGTGGCACAGCAAGCTGAGCTACCTGCTCTACAGTTACGGCTTTTTAACACCTAATGTTTATAGTCACTGGTTTGGACAGGATGCTGTTGTTTCCAAACCTTTGCTAATTGTCAGAGTTGATTATTCAATATATTGAAGGTGTTGATTTTGCTATATATTTTTTCTGGGACTTAAGGCTGTCATAGCAATCATTCCAGGCAAGAAAAATGGAACACCTGGAAGGAGTAGCCTGATTGTTTCAATGTTATTTTTATTTATCTCTTCCTCCCTCAGGATGACAACTGGGGTGAGACCACGACAGCAATCACAGGCACCTCTGAGCACAGTATTTCCCAAGAGGACATTGCCCGGATCAGTAAGGATCTGGAAGACAGCGTTGGGTTGGACTGCAAACGTTACCTGGGCTTAACAGTGGCAGCTGTTCTCGGACTCCTAGTCTTCCTTACCCCCATTGCCTTCATTCTGTTACCCCAGATCCTGTGGCGAGATGATCTGGAGCCGTGTGGTACTGTCTGTGAGGGACTGTTCATCTCTGTGGCATTTAAACTCCTCATTCTTCTGATTGGGACCTGGGCTCTTTTTTTTCGCCAACCCAAGGCAGATCTACCAAGGGTGTTCGTGTTTCGGGCCCTTCTGCTGGTCCTCATATTCCTCTTTGTGTTTTCCTACTGGCTCTTTTACGGCGTTCGCATCTTGGACTCGAAGGACACCAACTACCAAGGAATTGTGCAGTACGCAGTGTCTTTGGTGGATGCTCTGCTCTTCATTCACTACCTGGCCATTGTGCTGCTGGAGCTGCGGCAGCTGCAGCCCATGTTCACTGTCAAGGTGGTTCGGTCAACGGACGGAGAGTCGCGATACTACAGCCTGGGACACCTGAGGTAGGTACAAGCCCTTGAGGTCCAGCGTCGTAGATAAGTGTGACTGTGCTGTAGCGCAAAGCAGCAACTGCTTCTGAGTACGTGGTATCGCTGGTTTCTGAATCTTCCCCCAGAAGAATCCTAAAGTCTCTCCAAAGTTACCAAACTGAACCTCTCTTCCCCTCTTTGAGCGTGGGAGAGGTGGTCCCGGCTTCAGAGGAGTCCTGTGTGTTTCTGTAAGTGAAAAGAGTTGATGTCACGACCTTAGGATGGTCACTGGGCTACACCTGATGAGATCTTCAAAATCCTTCTCTGGGTTTCTTACCCTGTCTCCTCACTGGAGGGAAGTGGAGAGCTGTGAGTCTGGCTTGTGCTTTTTGGTTGCATGGGCCAGGCTCTGCTTTGAGAGCAGCCCTTCAGGCTGTGCAGGCCATAACTCGGAGCCCCCTGACAGCGGGCCAGTCCATGTGGCAGGGGCTGAAGGAAGAAGTAAGTGTCCCTGTGTGAGAAAGCATTCAGCAATCTAATGTGCTCTTGGAAATACCCATTTTCCCTCATTGCCCTGTGCAGCCAAGACCCTTGCAAGGAATCTATGTAAAGGTCCCTTGGGTCAGGTCAAATGTGGTCGTTTGGATCACGTGTGTGCCTTTTGTGGCCAGTTGAAACACTTGTGTTCAGGTATTTGTGCTTTGAAGCCTGTTAGTGACAGGGTCCGGCTACCGTGAAGGGCTTTGCCAGGTAGCTACACCATGGGATCTGAAGGCTGCTTCCAGTGACTAGGGGCTCCTTCCCTGCTTCTAAGACTGGCAGTGTTTTGCAGTTTTGTGTTGGCTTGAGGTAAATAGTGTTTAGTTCTGTTAAAGCAGTTGCTTTGATGCAGCCAAAGTCTCCTAGCAGTTCAGGCATTTAGCAGTAATATTTTTAATGAGTACTGGGGCACGTGTGGATGCTTTTTTTGGCAGTACTGTGCTGCTCCTGGCTTAGTTTTGTAGCATGATGCTCTTTTTGTCATTAGGTATGGATCAGTTTGCTGGGTCAGATGTATCTGGGACTATCTGGGAGCTGTGCAATATCTGTAGGTACAAAACATGCATGCCTGCTTCTACCTTCTTGCTGGTTCTAATTCTTCCCTCAGCAATGGTGCAAGAAAGGACAGTGTCTCAATCTTCTTAATTCCTGTGTCCTCTGAAGCGCTCCAGAAATCTCTTAGTTCCTGTGTCCTGTGAAGCTGAGCTCTGAAGATGATTCCCCAGACTGTATGTGCACTTAAACATCTGTTCTGCTTATCCTGTCCAGACCCCTATGGCATGCGTATCTGTGGCAGATGAAGAGATTAGCATCTGCTGGTTTAAGTGGATGTAGGAATAGTCTCCTGCAGCCATTAGCTTAGCAATGGAATTGCTTTGAAGCAGATTTAGTGGTGGAAGCTCAAGTCTGGGAGCTGACTCCTGGATGTTGTTTCTAGCTTAATGGACGAACTCGAGGCCTTTTGGATGAACTAGGTTTGGACTCTCCTGTATTTTCCTTCTCTGTAAAATGTGAAGGAGAGCCCCTCTTCTGCAATGGAAGTGCTCCCATTGATTTAATAAAAGGTCACTTTCCAAAAATAAACTAATCTTTGGTTTTCTTGTGAAATCATTTATTTCTTTTTAATGTAATTCCTCTGTGGTAAGTGATCCAGCATAGCTTTTAAGACCAGGAAAATGGAGAGATGACTACCAAAGAGTTCCTTTGTACCACAGTTTTGTGCCTTGAGGTGTGATGAGGCAGTTCTCTCACAAGTGAATTCTGCAGATAAAGCTCAGTATGTGTATGTATATACCTATATATACACGCACAGTGTGCAGGATTGGTTTGAGAGACTTCGTTGGTTGCTTGGTGGTAGATTGTGGGTTTGTGCTAGAGGAATTGAGATCCAATGCCTGCCAAAGTCTGCATGTCTAGCTTCCCTTCGTGGAGGCAAAGAATTTGCTTGAGAATCAAGGCCTAAATATTTAATAGCATGTGTGTTAGAAACAATGTTCTGTCCAATTTTCTCTTTGCAGCAAGGTTTTTGAAATGTCTTGGGCGATGCTAGGGCAGCAAAGAGATGTAAAACCTAGGGTGAAATCTGAGATGTATGAAAACTGGTAACTTCTCATTTGTTGGCCAGCTGATTTCAGTTGTGTTTGGTATATTGAATCCAAGCCATGCAGCACAGAGATGCTTCAGTGTCTTGTGTTATGGAAGAGTCTCGTGAAGCATGTCTGATAATGGTAAACTAGTGTTGCTTTTCCCTTAGTTTCTGACAAATTAGTATAATGTGTATTGACGTGTGTTTTGAAGCCTGCGTGTCTTTCCATTTCTACTGATGCAAAGGTAAAACTGTAGGTATGATCAGTGGCCAAGGGTCTCCCAGCTTAGGGAGAGTTCGTTCTCTCTCCTACTCCCACTACAAGTGTGTTACTTGTGTGTAAATGGTAAGAGCTTCTGATCTTGATACAGAGTGTGGCTTGGATGTGACAAACTCTGTAAGAATTGAATGTAATTGGTATCTCTCCTTCAGCTTCTAAAGGCTTAGGATTGTGAGATATTTATATGAAACACGAAAAATATGTGAACTTTTGAACATCTTTGCAGTATATTGCAGAGTTTCTGTGAAGGTCTTGACATGCTTGTTGTTGAAATGTCAGTCAGGGTCACAAGGGGCTGCCTTATGCCTCTGTTTGTCTCTGGCTGAGGCATGGGGCTGGAATGGGCGGTCTGTTGATGCGAAAGTGTGGAAACACACAAGAACAGTTTGGATTTCAGCTTTGGAGAAAGCAGCTTTGTGGCCGTGATGGAGGGGTGGTTCTAACTGCCATTAGAGTTAGGAGTAGGCATATACCACTTGTTGCTGCCTTTGGGCTCTCTTAGCTACCATGCATGCTTGCCTCATCCCAGCATTTTTAAAGAGGTCTTGGAGAGGTCCTGAGCTGCCACATGGAAGGAAGAAGCATGCTTTAACAGGTACAGCAGTCTGACTGTCTCCTGAAATCAAAACCTTTTGTCTCTTCATGCTCTCAAATATCTTAGAAGTTTTGTTCACTGACAATCCATGGAGTTTACCTTCCTCAGCATCCAGTGTGCTCTGAAGAAGCAAGTGGTAAGAAGGGTCTTGAGACATCTTATCTTGTTCAGTGTTGCTTCTTAGAGTAGCTCTGTTTTGTTGGGTTTGGGGTTTTTTTTTTGGACAGGAAAATTGTTGATATCAACCTTTTTAATCCAAGATGGAAGCTTTCCAATTCTAGATCTTTTCTGATGAGGCAGAGGGAGCTGCTGTGGAAGTATGAGGACAGCATGCTTTCTGGGGGAGAAGGAAAGAAAACAATAGCTCAGCCGTCCTTCTGGCAAACTATGTTTTTGCGAGGCAGGGTACAGACAGGATTTTCCACCCTTCCTGGCTCCAAATGCAGTAAAAAAACTTGAAAGTGCTGAGTTAGGTATTCCACTCCACCCCCGAGGGCCCTGGGTCCAGGAGGGTAAGCATGTTTGGGAGTAGTTCCCCAAATTCATATTATAATCAGCCTATTAATAGGCTGGCTTGGTCCCACCCCCAGCACTTTGGCTGTAACTTTTCTTCTGGGAGACTTGACTGCCAAAATGATCGTTCCCTTTGGCATCGATTCAGGAGCTTGGAGGGGGAGTTAAAAATTAAATAGGAGTCCCAATGAGTGTGGTGCCAAGTCTCAGCTCACTGACTGCTCTGCTGCTCCTTGTAGGAAGGGTTGTCATGCAGGGCAAATGCTTTATGGTAGTATGTATGGATAAAGAGCAGGGAGCAGTATATATTCAAGAAAGGTCGAGCCTGGGAAAATGCAAGAGGTTGGGTGAGAATGCTGTCTCTAGACTTTTGAAAGCAACAACAAAGGGAAACAAAGGTGGGGGAGCACAACAGCAGATAACTTTTCAGTTGAAAGGCTGATAGTTTTGCAGGCTGAGGCCTGGATTTGCAGCTGAGGCTTCAGTTTGTCCCTACAGATAGGGACTCTGATGACACCTGCCATCCACAGTTCAGTACTTGTCTGTATGGCTCAGAAACAATGTAGGAAGGATTTTGCTGGAGAAAACCCTCTTTTTTCTAGTTAGGGTGCTAAACATATTCCTTTCCTCTCCAGTGAAAACTCTTTCCCCACCCTAGAGCTTTGCTAGTCTAGACAGCTCAAGAAAATGAATGGCTTGTAACACGTGATAATTACTGATCTTACACGTTTCTGAAAGTTGGGCTACAGTAGAGTCTTGATTTTCTGAGGTTAGAGATGTCTGAGAGTGGGTCCTTCTCCCTTTTGTTCATCCTTGCAGCAGGGATATGAGAAACAGGGTCGTGATAGTTCATCTTGTTTGGGGCTGTATAAAGTACTGAGAGCTTTGTTCAGTCTGCTTCGCTGTAGTGGTTTAAACCCAGCTGGCAAATAAGTACCACTCAGCTGCTCAGTCACACCCCCCTCACCTCACTTTGTACCATGGGGACAAGAATCAGAAAAGAATGTAAAACCTGTGGGTTAAGATAAGAACAGTTTAATAACTTAAGTAATGTAAAATATAATACTAATTATATTATGAAAAAATAAAACAGTTGTAATGAAGAGGGGGGAGACAAATAAAACCCAAGAAAGGCAAGTGATGTACAACATAGTTGCTCTCTACCCACTGACTGCTGCCCAACCTATTCCTGAGCAGCAATCTGTGGCTGCCGGCCAATTCCCCCCAGTTGATATGATGTTTTATGGTATGAAATATCCCTTTGGCCAGTTTGGGTCAGCTGTCCTGGCTGTGCTCACTCCCAGCTTCTTTTGCAACTCCTCACTGACTGTCAGAGCATGGGAAAATGAAAAGTCCTTAACTTAAAGTAAGCACTACTTAGCAACAACCAAAACATCAGTGTACTAGAAGGAAAATTAACTCAATCTCAGAGAAAACCAGGACACTGTCCTTCTTTCTGGCATGGGCTTGCCTTTTATGAACCAGCTGGTGGGGAAGCCTCTGTATGCCTTTGGAATCAG